CATTGTGTGAATTACCCTTGTTCTGGATCAGGCTCGTCGTCCAATTCATATAACAAGGCATCTTGGCCCAAATGAAGGATTATCCCACTTGTTGGGTGTCGGCCGAAGTTAATGTCATTATTTGGGAGCAACATTACTATAATACACTTAAGCGCATTATATAGTATGTCGACCTAGAATAAAGTAACAGTACCTCATGTTAATTTTAAATTATTTATAGTTCAAAAATCACAATGGTTTTGAAACCCAATGTTGAATATAGCAGCTTGTTACTAGGTCCTGTTTGAACAAACTACTCCTTAATGACTCTCTATAACAGAAAAATAAGAAAAAAATGAAAGGAGGCTCGTAGGTCAGTTAAAACTATCTTGTATGGCCCAAGTTAAAAATTAAAAAATTTAGAAAACCTATAATGCTTCCACAAATTCAGCTTATGCTTATGCAAAAACTTATTATGATTATGGAGAAGTTCATTTTTTTTTTCCACTTATTTGTTTCTTCTAGAAGTACTTACGAACAAAATTGTCCAAATAGACCCATAGAATAAAGCAGCATATAACAAATGATTTTGATGTCTATTCCATAATCATAGAGATAAAACAGTAAAAAGAACACAAAAAAAGAGGTGAACAATCCACACTTCAACTTTAAAATCCTGAATTTGACTTACTACACATAATTGGACAACAAGAAAAATTATGCATCATTTGTACTGATGAATGATACAAAACGTCTGACTTTTGATTTTCTACATATAATGAAACTCAGAGGAATGTGAATTAGAGATTTAGTAACATGCGGAAAATCCACAAACATTGGAATACCAGCCACAGCAGTATGGTGGCATGGAAAAGAGAAAAAGTCGTAGTTTTCTTCACCAATGCTTAATGTACGCATTAGACATATAAGAACATTAAACTCTGATAAGCACAGTTAACAACAAAACCCATCTCATAATTTTACAACCTGAATCTTCAACTTATCTTTGATCCAACTTTGAGAAAAATCCTCTTTCAAGTACCCTAAGGCTCTCTAGAAACTAGATGTTCTTTCTCAAGTGTAATGTTAACCAGCCCCCTATGATTAACACAACCCTCTACCCCTTAAATGACTGTGGTTCTAATGCTAATGCTGGCATTCCATCCGAGTTTCCGTGAGTACTCAATCCTCACGAGAGGGGTAGGTCATGTGTGGGAACGGCAGAGGTCCTAGTCCTTAGGGGGTACTTTGGATAGGGCAAAACCAACTACCCTCGATGGCATCTTTTTGAGTGTATCCCAGTTACTACCATCACTCGGGTGCAAGGCCCCTGTAGCTACAACAGATGCATACATTCCGGACGGTCTGTCTAGTAACTATATATTTCTTATGATGTTATATGCTAAGTTTACATGTTTGTGTGAATTGAAATGTTAATTTATATGTTGAGGTAGAAATTTAATTTACATAATTACCCTTTTGTTTTCCTTGTGTTGTCTATTGTCTATGTACGTTCGTCCTGTCTTTGCCATGACATCCCGTGTGATGTGAGCAAAGGCGAGGCCACTTTGGAGACGTGATTGAATAAGAAACCCTGATTGAAGTGGACAGTTAAAGCCGAGCCTTAGAACGCTCGTTAGCGCTTAGATGTTAGTTTTATATTCTGATGTTCGGTTATTTAATTTTGTAAAAACTGGTTCGTCCTAACATTCTTGTAGTTCTGACTTTCGATACTGTTGCTGTAATTGATTTAGCTCTGTACTTTAAGCCGTTTCGGTTTTTGAACCTCGTTCATCTTAGTGTAAAGACTGCATTGTTTTAACTGTTAAATGTAATTAAATTCTGATTTATGGTTATTACTGTATTTGATGTTACAGATACTAGCATAAACGAATATGGGAATGTAACTTTAGAATCAACTATTCTATTAAAAGATATTTTATGTCCCACAATTGACCAATAGCCTTGTTTCTATACAAAAACCTACAAAATATTTGAACTGTTTAGTAAATTCTTTCTCTTCTTATTGTGTATTTCAGGACTTCGCCACTGGTTAGACAATTTGAATTGCTAAGGAGCAAGGTGGGTTGCATCTATTGAAATTGACTGACACTTCGTTAAAGATAATCTTGATAGGGACATAGTGGCTACAACTCATGTCCCTACAAGATTTTCATACAGCAGATTTATCAGGACAGATTCTAGAATCTTGTAGGTAAGTTGGAAAGTGTTGATATTCATTTACTAATTTGAGGCAAAGTGTTGTGAATAACAAATTATTTGGATAAAAAATATTCTCAATATCTCAACAATATTAGGAAAAAACATCTTCAAAATCTTCTTATTCTTCAACAGTGTTTTACTTTCGTTTTTTAAAGAATTTATTATTACTAATAGAGATGATGGAATGTAATGCTGTGTATTGTTACAAATAAAATAATTCTTTATTTTTTTATATAGTTCAACTGATACTTCTACATTAATCTAGGAAAAGATTCAACTAAAATAAATGGGCTGTCTTATTGAATGAGGGAAATTGAAAGTTTACCTGTTATGCCCCGTAGTTTCAAGAAACCTCGTAGTAGTTCTCGCTTATAATGACAATCGCCACTTAGAATTGCTAGTTCGTATCTGTTTTACAAGCCTACAAAATATCAATTAAGGGGTTGACAAACCAACATAATCCTGGTAGGGAAAGAATGTAAGATACGAACCTCAGTACAAGCATGGTGAGCACAATCCGACCAATCCAAGTTAGCAGCACGACAATCATCAAATGCATGAATTAATTCACGAACTACAACCTGGTTGACATCATCTTGAATTCGTACATAATTACTGCACACTTTTATCTGGGAGAATGGAAAACATTACCATTCAGCCAAAGTAAAAGCATTGATCACAACACTAATTCAACCAACAAAACCATGATGGTCAAAATTGAGATTTTACCCTAGATTGGAAAGGAAAATATGAAGCATAAATTAGAAGATAATCACACTTTAAGGAATATAAATTCATACACACAAAATCATCATTTCTCACTCTGCTTTTAAAGAAATAAATGGTCTTCGAAAGAAAAAATGAGCTTTGAAAAGAAAAAAAATAGGCATCTTTCATCCTGCACCCCAAAAATGTTGTAATTTCCAAACTACCATAAAAAGAAGGAAGGTCAAGCTTGGGTTTCATATGATGTTCTCTATGATTGTGGTGTCTCCTAGGAGGGGGTTGATAGTAGGAAGGTCTATGTAATTTCCATGCTAGAAAAGCTCCAAGTCGCAAAATGAGGCAACGGAATGAAATGATACACGAAAAATTGGTGCATGCCAGGTGTTTGATGGATGGTTCAGTGAGTGTATGATGAGTGTTTGAGGTCTCTAAGCTCAAAAGGCCTTCCAACAGGGAAAGAAGCTAAAGGAGAGTGTGATGAATTGTCACACAAGTTATCCAAGAGTATAAAAGTCTGGAGTAAACTCAACAACAATTCATTTATACTTCAAAGATGATTTTACAAAAGAGAGGTCCTTCTATTTATAGGTGAAGAAGGCCCTCCATTTCTGACTTGCAATGCATCTAAAAATAAAAAATGAAGTGTGTTGGAGAAGCTAAGAAGCTTGGAGCGCACGTTTCTTTAAGTGCATATTCAAAACATGCCAATTTAAAATTCTAATTCGCAATGGTTGGGCGTCTGAAGGTCTTGGCTTAGGGCGGTAGTTGGTCCGGAAAGCAACTCTCCTTGTATTTTGAATCCGGACGCTATGCTGCCAATTCTGGAAATAACACATTTTCCTCCTTTTGATTCCTTTGCTTCCTTTAGCTTACCAAGCTTCCTATGTTGATTATGCATGGTCTCCAACCTTTATTTAGGTCCTACAAAATAGTACAAATGTATTTAGCAAAGAGAAGAAGGATTTTAATAAGTGATTCTCCATAGGAGTAATGTGTTGGGTGATCCTTCTTCTTGAATCTTCTTTGACATGGCTCTTGTAAGAGGACCTATGTGAATGAAGCTTAGATGGTCCACCATCATACCTGATAGGTTTCCGAACAAGAAACCTGATCAAGAACTCCCTCTCAACCTCTCACAACAAAGATACAGAGAAGAATGGAAAGAATCTGGTATTATTCACAAAGGAATAGTTTGTACAGTCAAGATACAGGGGCATAATCCCCTTCACAGGTCTAAGGCCTGTCAACAATCAAAGTCTCAAAAAGTCCCTTCTAACTATACAATCAATATATTTTACAATTCCTCTGCCTTCTATCCTAATCCCATTTCCCATTATATCCAAATACCCTATATCCTAACATTACACCCCGCTGCAGAACAACCTTGTCCTCAAGGTTGGAATCGGGAAGCTTGATTTCATGGCTCCTCTTCCTCGTCAGGTTACCATATGAAGGTTGCGTGTTCGTTTCACGTCGGGTTCACCATATGAAGGGAATCCACTGGCTATAACCTCCAATTCAAGTTAGGAGGCTTGGGTGGTGACAAATCCTCCTCTTCTTCTTCGGCCAATGTCAACATTCACAATCCCTTCTCTGGGCATTGATGGCCTGGACTAAACGGCCCTCCGCACCTAAAACACCTTCCCTCCTCCCTTCTCTTCACGAACTCCGAGTAAGGTAAGTTTCGGATATTTCTCCCCATACCATCGAAACTGGGTTTCGCTATTCCGCTTCCCTGGGTCGCCTCCTTATCCATTGATCCTACACTCTCCGCTACCCCTCCTCGGCCCTGCGCATCGCGACTGTGTTCGACTCGCGCTACCACCCCGGTCGTCCTCCCCCACGAACTCTGATTCTTGGTCGTCAGTCCGCCTCCGATCTTCGAAAGGTTACACATCTTCTCCACATCACGCGCGATTTGCATGGCTGTCATCAAATCTTGTGTATCATGCGGTCTCACGTGATCGCACACCTCTTCTTGGAGACCCGCCATGAAGTAATCCAGAAGTTGTTCTTCAGGAATCTTGGTTGTCTGTCCCACAAAAACTTCAAAATCCCGAATGTAATTGTCCACTAGTCCCGCTTGTTTAATGGCCGCCATCCTCTCATAAATCGACCCTCGAGTTCCCCCTCCGAACCTAATCACCATCGCTCTCTTCAAGCCTTCCCAAGAGTTGTTCTTGGTTTTCTCCCTCCAAAAGCGAAACCAATACCCCCGTGTATCCCTCCATGCCGATGAAGGCCAATTGCAATTTTTCTTCTTTGGCCACTCTTTGCACTTCAAAATTTTTTTCTGCCCTATCGATTCAAATCAATGGATCCCCACCTTCAAACACGGGTAACTCCACCCTTTTCCTCCAGTTAGACTGTCCTTCTTGGTTCCCTTCCCCACATCTTTCTCTCTCTCCGTCGTGTCTACCCTCGTTCTCATTCACTGACGATTGACTTCCATCTTGGTGCCGATCGTTCCGGTGGTGATTACGATCTACCATCATTCTCAAAATCGCCTGAATGTCTTGGCGCATCGCCGCGGACTCCTGTCTCAGAGCCACCATGTTCACCTTCGTCTTCGCTATCGCAATTTCTACAGCCTCTAACTGACCTTCTACCGCCACCACTCTCCGCTCCATCACTCCTGATTCTTCCCTCACCCAATCAGATCCAGCAGGTTGGACCAATTTTATAGGTTTCCGAACAAGAAGCCTGATCAAGAACTCCCTCTCAACCTCTCACTACAAAGATACAGAGAAGAATGGAAAGAATCTAGTATTATTTACAAAGGAATAGTCTGTACAATCAAGATACAGGTGCATAATCCCCTTCACAGGTCTAAGGTCTGTCAACAATCAAAGTCTCAAATACCCTATATCCTAACAATACCCCTTATTAAAATCCTTACAAATTATTTTTTATAATTTACAGATTGGATATACTGGAAGGTATTTCCGAATCCAAAACATTCCAACTGGAACATTTGTAACATCCCAAAATTATACAGTCAACAACTATATAGAATATTCACATGTATTAATATGTCAAAACAGTCTTAAAATTTAAGGGAAAAAAAAATTCACCAGTGGCCGAACGGCCTTACGTATATACATATAAGCGTGCGAGCGTTCAGTAAATAATAAGGACGAACGGTTTACAAAATAAATACCGAACGTCCCAATTTTTCAACATACACCAAAAGAGCGCTCGTTCTAGAACGGCCCGCTAACCTAACTAATCTAACAGATCACCGAACGACCTACTGTTCGGCCTTCACTTCAATTTCTACTAAGTTCTCTTCAGCAAAGACTTCCTTTTCAAGCGCTTCCTCCAGAGAGGCATCTCCCTCTGCTCACATCCACATGGATGATCATTGCATTGAAAAGACGGATACACATATACGGACAACACAATGGAAAATGCAAGGGTAAGCTTATTACATTTAATTCAAGTAAAACATACATTTCATAACATATCAAATACACATCAAGTAAGTCACAATACATACTTCAATTCATTCATTAATTCAATCAAATCCCTGATACTAGACCGACCGTCCGGACTGTATGAATCCTGTGTAGCTAAGGCGTCCGTGCACCCAGGTGGAATTACTGGAATTCTCATCAGCTGCCACCTGAGGTTAGTCCGTTCTGTCCAAGTTACAGTTATGGACTAGGACCTCCTGCCATTCCCACGCATGACATACTCCTCTCTACTTGAGAACGAGTACTCACGGAATATCAGGATGAACCATCATCTAAGCTTACCACGTTCATACTTTACCAATCTCAATTTCCATTCAAGAGTCGTTCCTCCCTGGAACGCTCGTTCAAAAGTCACAATCATAATTTCAGTTCTTAAACCGTTCGCACATCATAATACTTCCTCTTATTAACATTTTCATTCTTTGTTCCACTTCCAAAAAAAGACGAGCGTTCAATCCTCTTCATAACGAGGACGGACGTCAAGAGCTAGACCGAAAGATCTTCTTTTCCGAAGGGATAAGCTGACACTTTTTACATGACGAACGTTATTACAATTTGAATCAGTTAAATGAACTGACTCTAGAACAATTCAACTTATACTTAGAATAAACCGACTGCCAGTAAATGACCGAACGCGGTACGCGGATTTACTGAAATTTAGGACGAACGCGGTACGCGGATCAAGGCATCCTCCACTTCCCATGTAGAGTCGCCAGTCTTCTCATCCCATACGACCTTCGCCAATCGGATTGCCTTCCTTTAGTAATATTTGGTGCGGCTATCTTCTACACGGACAGGTTGCATTTCGAACGCTTGGTCTTGAGGAAGACGAACGTCTTCTAACTCCAGTATGTGAGAAGGGTCGGCTATGTACTTCCGGAGTTGAGAATACGCGGAAGACTGGATGCAGGTTGGATAGTTGAGGAGGCAAAGCTATCTCGTACGCGACTGACTTGATTCTCCTTAAGATTTGTTAAGACCAATGAATTTGGGAAGTAGTTTCTTAGGACGAACGGCTCTGCCTACACGCACGTCCTTAGAAATTTTTCAACGTTAAATGGTTCCAACTATAATGAACAGTTATATTTGAGTAATGGCTGAATGGTTATGAGCAGAGAGTAACTACAGGAGAACTCTAAAGTGAGGAAACGGTTGATAACATTTAAATAAAGAGATAATGGTTGTGAAAGGTTAACCAATCGGTAACATAAATACCGAACGAGAAATTTTCTATTAGGAAAGTCACAGGTCTTCCAAGAGGAGAAGAATTAATATGGGAGTTTGTTACTATTGGATTTGAGTGTGAAACAGAAGAAACCAGAGAAATAGAGGAGAGAAAATATAAAAGAATAATCTTAATATCCCGGAATAAAATTATTATAGAAAACCAAGACAGTTACAATATATCTATAGACAATCCAAGTAAAGGACAAAATAACGAA